AGAGTTGAAGATCCCAAAAACCCCTTGGTGTCATACACCACAAAAAGAACATGGTTTAGTTTTGTGACCAACGGATTACTGCTTCCCTTGTTGGTGCATCAATTTTCCTGTGGTTGTACCATATTGATTTTTTTGATAAGGATATTTGTACCATATTGATATGAAAACAGTTAAAAAGAAATTGACCACTTAAAGGTCTGGTTGTACTCTATAATGTTTTTAAATGAAATGAGTCTTGAATGGTGAGAAATGCTCTTCATGAACATGAATAAGAGCGATGAAATATTGATGCCCGTTAAATGCGGTGATTGTTATCAAGGGTTTTCCACTTTCCCTTGGATTGTCATTGTCTTTTTATATTCTTCTTCACTAATTATTGTGCTTCCTTTTTACTTCATTCCAGGGGTATCCTTTCAGCAATTGATGTCTTCTCTGACCATGTGTTGGTTGGGGTAAGTTGTTTAGTTATTTGCTCTTATTTTAATGAGAGGAAAAAAAATAACAAATTCTTTGACACATTCCTTTGAAAACAATAAATTGAATGCCATTGTTTACTATGTTTAATAATAGTACTAATAGGGTGTACAAGTAATACTGGTACTAGTTGTACATAGGTGAAATTGCAACCAAACATTGTATTAAAATTTTATACCAGCATTATTCTACCTAATACACCCTACCAAACGACCATAATGCTTGATAGTAGATACTTCCCTTCCAAGTATTATTGTTAAAAAGGTAGAAGGGGAAAAACTCTTTAGTTTCTCATTATTAGTAGAGTGAATTTGATTTAACTTGTGCACTCAGCACTGTCTTTTACAGTTTACTTGAACAAAAACTTAAATTTCATTTTATTTTTCTCATTTCATACTGCAGTTAGTTAACTGATTTAGCAGATCAAAAACTTTTTGCAGAGTCATTTTCTTGAACAATAACTCAATTTCATTTGATATTCTGATTGCATATTGCAGCTAGTTTTTAAACTGAGTTACCGCATCAAAAGCTTTCTTAGGATAATTGAAACTCCCAAGAGAATTGAGTGTTAATGCTTGTATTAGCTTATCAGGCTGTTTGATCTTTTATCTTCTTAATATATATTCTCGTGTTGTCCTTTTCTTCTTTTTGCAGATATTTTATTTGATTGGATTTGGCTTCTTCTGCTTGGAAGGTTTGCTTAGCTTGTGGGTCCTGCAGGTGAGGCTTTTACTGTATTGTGTTTCTTCATTTCAGGTTCATACCTAGTGTACTGGTATCTGCTGTTCCTCTTTTTAGAGTTTTGCTCATCTTTGCCTTGCGGCTTGAGCTTCATGTGTATGTGGCCTAAAAGTGAAATCTATCAAGGGAAAAAGAGAAATTGTACATTAATTCATATTTAAGCTCTTGCTTGCTGTGTGAGGGGTAGTCTTTTTTGGGGAGGGTGGAGGACAGGGTATCATCTGGTTTCTCTCATAGATCAAGAAAAATGCATGTCCAGTCCTTTGACGATTTGCTAGGTTTTCCTTTTATCACAAAAAGAAGGAAGACAATTTGCTAGGCTATCAACCAGATAGGGACATCCAAGCAGTTTTTCTTTTGGAGCATGTACATCTTTTGAACAGTAAAGGTACTAACCGAAGAGTCAATTTTGGAAGTCACTTGGGGGTGAGGGTGGGGGTGGGGGTGTTGTATCATTTAGTAGGGCTATTCAGAACCTAAGGTTGAATTTAATTGTGTTAGGTGATTAGACTTTTCTATGCCTGATAACAAGCTGTTCTATACTACTAAATGTTTAAATGCTATACAACTTGAGAGGAAAAGAGCTATCTTAGAATTCAAATGGGTACCATCTTGACAGTTGATTCCCAGGGAAGTTAACGGTCCTAGTATCAATCCTCAATTCCTCATATTATGATCGGACAATTCCGGCTGAGAGAGAAGATGACATCTTTCCATCGGGCTAAAAAGGCAGAGTTATCCGGTACATGTGTTGTGTTGGGTAGGAGGTAGCATGTACCCAGTAGAATAGTCAAGGTGCTTCGCAAGTTGGGCTGGACACACTCATTATTTAAAATGGAAAAGAATAAAACCAAGCAATTTGATTCCCTCTTCCTTATGGTAGTATGATATGGAGGGGGAAAAAAGAAAAGGGTTTAATAAAGGAGCTGAAAGCCACTTGACTGTAAGGAGAGGAGGTCAGTAAAAAAAACGAGATGTTAATTAATCAAGCCGATCTGACCGTCTTTACTTCCATCTTGTGACGTTTTCTTCTCTGTGGTAGTATGATATGGAGGGGGAAAAAGGGAAAAAAATGTTGTATGCCGACCTGACCGTCTTTACTTTCATCTTGTGAACGTTTTCTTCTGTTCTATCACTGCAGAAAGTGTACATGTATTTCCGAGGGAACAAGTGATGCACCTGTTTGGACTCAAAGACCTCAGTGTCGTAGCAACAAAACAAAACAATTCTTTTCCAGAGGAAGCTAAACATATGCCTTCATCATCAGTTTGGCTGAGTAATGACTTGCGTGATATAGTTGCATGTTTTTTAGGTTTAATAGTTATCTTTGCTTCATTCAAACATATTCGTTTCATTGTCATTTTTGTATGTAATCACAGTTTGACCTTCGATCATTAAACTACTACATTACCTATATAGTACCTTCATTTTGGATAAAAAAAACACCCATTCGGTTTCTGAGTGATTTTGGTTTTTAAATTTGTCCACTTGTAGTCATGTTGATCAAAATGACTAAGTTTAGTGATTCAATCAGTTACTAGTCCTTGTGTTATAAGATTATATTATTTAGTGTACTCTATATATGCTGCAAAGCCTCAGGCTCAGATCCTGAGTGTTTTTTTATTTTAATAAATACGTCGTAATTAGGATCTGGTGCTATATTCCAGGTTAGAACAACTTTAACTATGGTAATTTCTTGGGATTATTAGTGTATCATTCTATTGACAGGATTGATATATATTAAGCACTTGGACATCCAGTTTCGTTTAAGAATTTTGCCAACCAAATTCAAATGTTTAGATCTTAGCTTTTAAACACCTAAAAAATTTTCTGAAGCCATTTCCACTCCCCTATTCAACCCCCCTCTTTTGTTTCTTTATTCATTTGTATGATTTAGAATTTGAAGTTTACGGGTTCCTACAAAGACCTCAAGTTAATAACCAAAAAAATAAAAATCATTTAAAAGGAAGAGAGAACTATTATTATTTTTTTGGTACACTACAAGCAAGTATTACATTGTGTGATATTCGAAAACTATTGATTTCATATTCATATTATCCCATGACTAAAATACTATTACACATAATTGGGTTCGTGTTTTTGTAGTGATCTTATTCGTTTCATGGTGTCCTTGAATTGGAATTTGGCAACCAAAAGTCTGAGGCATATGAGAGCATACAGGTTGCTGAATAAATGGATGTTGGAGTAGCTGTTCTGACGTCCATGGATCCTTTATCAAACACTTGTGTGTAAAAAATCATTGGCCATCTCATCTCAGAAACATTACCCCGAACCATAGGGTATTCATTCATAATCTGCGCTTGCAAATCTTCAGTGTTGCGATAAATCCAAATGTGACTCCCAGTCATCATCTTTGCCACGGTGCACCCCAGTAACCATATATTATAAGCTTTGCCATGCCATGAAAACCACTGGTCAGAGATTCTGGATTAGAATCCCTCGATTGCTTAACGTTGTTCCAGTCATATATGTCATACTAATTTTTTTTGCATTACTAATACTAGAGATCCATGGTATTACTAATCGAGTGTATAACTAAATAAGATACTACTAATACAAAGCTAATGCATACATTATTTTTGCTAACACACTCTATCAAACAACCCTTTAGACTCTAAGATATGTCAACTTTTAGTCTATTATTAATTCGCGTCTCGTCTATAAGTACAAAATACTATGTCATATGTGAATCATGTTAGTTCATTCTTTACTACGACAAATTGGAATGGGCTAAGGACTGCTTCTTGTTGATTTTTTTATTTATTTTAAACCAGAGTTTCAAACATATGTCGAAACCATTTGTTTACAAGAAACTGATTGGGGGTATTCACTCGTTTGCTTATTTATTTATAAAAATCCAACACTTTGTTTCCCGTTAATGAAGGAGAAGACCCCTGATTTAGTAATCAATGAAATGAGTCGTGATTTAGTAGTCAATGAAATGAGATAAAAACCTTGAGACTCCCACCTAGACAAGTTGAGCACGAATAATATTTTTCAATAAAAAATGAGGCCCAAGCACAAAATCACTTAAAATGATTTACAAAACAGACAAGGGCAGTGCCAAGATACAATAAAATTGAACTAGATTTGGTGGGGAGTGCCAGGCCCGTGCAATAGTGCAACACATGGGCGACGCACAAGAGCCCAGGTAGCAAGCTACCTTAATGGACTCTTCCCCTTAGAAAAATTGAGCTAATATCGTGTGAACCGATGGTTCACATATCAGATATTAAACTGATAAGAACAGATACTACACGTAATCGAATGATTGTGAAAATAATAAACGGTACTGTTTTTATTTTATTTTTATAGAAAATCCTCCAATTCTAACTTGATGTGGAGAAGGTTTCCTAAAAGTTAACAGATTGCAGTTTTTTGGTAATTTTTTATTTCCATATTCGATACTGATAAGGTAATTTTCTAAATTCCTGAATGCAGCAATTAGTTTAAGGCTAATTAGCATTACGTATATATATTTAAATAATTGTGCATGAAGTTACTAATCCTTAATTACCTGTGTTGTGCACCCTTGGGATATTAAAATACTTTAGGAACATCAAATTTAAATTTCTAGGATATATTTTAAAGTAAAAGTTACTGCGAAATATTATTCAACCATGTAGTCTATATTTATATTATATTGAAAGCATGAAAGTCGTTAAAAATATGCGTTCACTATACGACTAAAAGAAATAGTTTGACTAATCAAACAGACAAGGGCACTTGAGTGTGCCCAGAAAGAATTTTTTTGACTAGATTTAGTGGGGTGCGCCAGGCCTGGGCAGTAGTGCAACACTTAGGCGACGCGCAAAGGCCCAGATAGCAAGCTATCCTAATAGACCTTTCCCCTCAAAAAGTAGAGTTAATATAGTGTGAACCAATGGTCCACATATCAGATATTAAACTGATAAGAACAGATACTACACTTGATCTTAGCCAAAAGGCCGAGAAAGGTATGCTTTAACAACTCAACGAAAATTTGCTTATGTAGCAGCTTTCGGCTGTCTACGCATTAGCTCTCATTCTGATGTGGGACATGCAAGCTTTATAAAAATAACCTCATTGCGTTTGCTTCATATATATCAGCAGCTGCTCAGTTATTATATAAATAACTTGCATAAATACGATGTTCAATATTGGTCCATTCAACAACAATAGAACAATTAAATATCTTAACATTCAAGATGTGCAATATTGTTTGAGTGATAATTTGCACTTCTTATATTAAGAGTAGTTTTTTTCATATAAGTCGTTCATTAGACATAACAACGTTTTATTCCCAGCATAACTATGTTTACTTAAACAGAAAATAATTAAATCTAGATAGGAACAAACAATTGTTTTCACTATTATTAGAAATATATGCAATATCCAAATAGTATTACACAAAATTTGTGTTCTGTAAAATAATAATAATACATCAGCAGCAGTCAATAAGTGCTTAATTTTGCAAGTGTGATACTTGATCAATTGTGTATATTCACTCTCCCTCCGGAAACCTAGCTTTTCAGGCGGCCATCATGACCGCCGCCACCATAGGTGGGATCCATCTACCGGAGGATTTTCCACCTTTACCCACCCTTTCCAATCCAGATCCCAGAAAACTTGAATCAGTTCAGCCAAACTTGATACAATACGCCAACATTCTTAAACCTAAAACCAATAACAACACAAAACATACAGTCCCTCCCAAACCGGTGGTAATGTTACATGGAGAACCTAACATCACATGGAAGGGATCAGAAGTGAAAGCATTGATCATACAAGAAAATTTACAATATGCAATTATTGGTAAATTCTCGTATGGTAAACCGGACATCACGGAGTTAAGGCGGACACTACCAGGACAATGTGGAATCAAAAGTGAGTGTGTGATAGGGGTATTGGATACACGACATATATTAATACGTCTTACAAATCTTGAAGATTATGTTCATTTGTTATCAGCAACAGCTTTCTACGTGAAGGCTAAAGATAATTATTGGCAGATGAGGACGTTCAAATGGGATCCATGGTTTGAACCAGATGTAGAAACCACCATTGGTGTGGCATGGATATCATTCCCAGACCTACCCCCACATTTTTTTGCAAAGGAGGCGATCTTTTCAATAGCAGCGGCAGTGGGTAAACCATTAATGGTAGACATGGCAACAAGGAATCAGACGAGACCTAGTTGCGCAAAGGTGAAAATCGAAGTAGATTTGATGGCCAAATTACCCCAAAGAGTGAGAATTATGGAGGAAGATGATGACACTGGAAGCATAAAATCTAAGTGGATTAAAGTGCAATATGATTATATGCCTAAGTACTGTAAGGAGTGTTGCTTACAAGGGCATGATGAGTATACATGTTGGGCACTACATCCGGAGTTATATGAAAACAACAGTAACGAGCATACCAAGAAGGAGGAGGTGGAAACGGATAATACTAATAAAAGAGGCGAACAAAGCAGGACTTTGACAAGTGGAAAAATTGTGGGTTACAAACAAAACAAACAGGAATGGATGGTGAGGAGGATAAACAAATATAAAAGGGATAAGTATGGGCATGTGGAAGGGGAAAATGATATGAGAGATGTGAATCCCTTTGCGGCCTTACAAGAAGAAGAAGAGCAGGAGACGACCAAAGAAATCAAAGACAAGGAAGGATCAACTAAAGATTGGGTGAATAAAAGTTTTAACAATCAAAACAGCAGCAAAAAGGACCAGGAGAAACAGAAAAGGGATGAAATTCCGATTAACATACATGAGGAAATAGTCAAGGAAAAGGAAGAGATAAAAGAAGAAAGAATGCAGCAAGATGAAAAAGAAGAAGGGGAAGTCATTGAAGATGGGAAATTTGAGGAGGAAAGATATAGAGAAAGGATAGGAAGAGAAGGAGAGAAGCCAGATAACTATAAAACACTTGCACTTGTGGTATATGAAGACAATAATGATGAGGTATTACCACTGGCAAACGATGATACCAAAAATGATGATTATGAAGGGCATGAACACGCTGGGGGAAATATGCTGGAAGCCAGTGAGGAAGGGATAATGCCTTTATCTCAACAAGAGGCATTGGAAAATAATATGGAGCACCGGACATTGGTGAGGGACAAGGAGGATCTGATGCAAAACATTGAGAATGCAGCTAGAAGAGGAGATCTATCTCCGAAGCAGAAGAGTAAAATACAAGAAGCTCACACCAAAGTGAAGAAAATAGGGGAAGGAGAATTACAGGCGGCTCAAGCCTCATCAAGGTCAAAGAGAACGATTATCAAAAATACTAGATATCAATGAAAGCTTTATTATGGAATATCAGATCAGTGAACACCCAAAAAGCGTTCACTAGACTGGTTAACTTGAATAAAAGGTATCAATTCTATTTTATCGGGCTCATGGAACCTTTTGAGGATAGACATGAATTAGAGGAATATAGAAGAAAGCTTGGGATGAAACATTCGATAGTGAATGTAAATGGTAAAATATGGGCATTCATTGATGAAATTATGGAGTACATGGTTTTAAGAGACGAAGAACAGTCGTTAACTATCAATCTGCAAAATCAAAGCATGGGAATGGAAATAATAGTGTCTTTAGTATATGCTAAATGCACACAAGGTGAACGACTGCAACTGTGGGAATCGTTGGAATCAATAGCTAGCAGTACTAGTCTTCCTTGGCTGGTAGGAGGGGATTTCAATGTAATTTGTAATGATGCTGAAAAGATGGGAGGAAGAGAAGTTACTGTAGGAGAGGTAGAAGATTTCAATCACTGCATTAATGTGTGCAACTTGGAGGATCAGGGGTTTAAAGGCAGCAAATATACTTGGTGGAATGGAAGAACAGATAATAATTGCATCTTCAAAAGACTGGATAGAGTACTATGCAATGAAGGTATGCGCAATCTCTTTCCAATATTGGAGGTTGAACATTTAATACGGAGTGGCTCTGACCATACACCACTTCTTATTACTTTCCATGTTAGTAATGAAACAGTGGTAAGGCCTTTTAAATTCTTAAATTTATGGCTAAGGGAGGAATCATTTATGGAAGTTATGAAGCAACACTGGAAAGCAGATTTCGAAGGAGATCCATTTAGTTTATATCATCATAAGCTAAAAAAGGTCAAAAAGGCACTTACACAATGGAGCAAAGAAACCATTGGGAATATATTTCAGGAGATAATTACATTGGAGGAGGTGATTAAAGTGAAAGAGATACAGTTTGAGAGGGATCCGACAGAATCAAATAGAGAAAACCTTCATAAATCCCAGGCAGAATTGAAGAAACATTTGCACAGGGAGGAAGATTTTTGGAGACAAAAAACGGGAATGCAATGGTTCAAAGAAGGGGAAAGGAATACTAAGTTCTTTCATACAGTAGTAAAAGGTAGAAGAAATAGATTGAGGGTAAATAAAATTCAATCTGATGAAGGTGAATGGTTAGAAAATCAAAGTGACATAGCAGAGGCAGCTATCTCTTTTTACAAAAAGCAATTCACAAAGCAGGTGGAGGGGGAGGAATATGGGTTACTGAACGAGCTTCCAGTTTTGATTACTGATGAGAAAAATCAGGAATTACAAGAGATGCCAACGAGGGAGGAAGTAAAAAAGGCAGTAATGAGTTTGAATAAAGATAGCGCAGGAGGACCAGATGGGATGACAGGAGCATTTTATCAACATACATGGGACGTGGTAGGAGAGGACATTTACAACATGGTCAGAGCTTTTATGGGGGGTGCAGAGCTGCCAAGATTCATCACTCACACAAATTTAGTGTTGATCCTAAAGAAGATTAATGTAAATACATTTTCTGACCTGAGACCTATTTCATTGAGTAATTTCGTGAACAAAATTTTCTCCAGAATTATTCATGAAAGACTCAAATCGGTTCTACCGGGGATTATTTCTCCAGAACAAGCGGGCTTTGTGCAGGGGAGGAGTATAGCAGAAAATATCCTAATGGTACAGGAAATTGCATCAGAAATCAGGAAAAGAGGAAAGCCGCCGAATCTGATTATTAAATTAGATATGATGAAGGCGTATGATAGAGTGGAATGGTTATTTCTGACCAAGGTACTTAGGAGGATTGGTTTTGGAGAAAGGATCATTGATATGGTGTATCGACTGATCAGTAATAGCTGGTATTCAATTTTACTAAATGGGCAGCCAAAGGGCTTCTTTAAGTCCTCTAGAGGAGTGAAACAAGGGGATCCGCTATCACCCACTCTATTCATTCTAGCAGCTGAGGTGTTGTCTAGAGCTTTAAATGCTCTAACAAAGAAGAGGGAATTCAAATGTTATGGAATGCCAAGAGGCAGCCAGAAATTGAATCACTTAGCATTTGCCGACGATATGATTATAATATGCAAAGCTGAAGTGAGAACCATGCAACTGATAGCAGAAACATTGCGGAAATATGAAGACATCTCAGGTCAGAAAGTCAACAAAGAGAAAAGTGCAATTTATCTACATCATAGTGTACCAAGAGGGGAGACAGTGACGGCAGAAGTAGCAACATGTATATTGAGAAAGGAGTTCCCTTTCACTTATTTAGGATGCCCTATTTTTTATAGAAGAAAGCAGAAGGCCTATTACCAGCAGATGATACATAGGATTGGCTCAAAAATACAAGCTTGGAAAGGAAAGCTTTTATCGTTTGGGGGGAGGGCAATCCTAATTAGACATGTATTACAAAGCACGTCTATCCATTGTTTATCAGTTATGAATCCTCCAGCTAACGTCTTAAACCAAGTCCAAAGAATGATGGCCCAATTTTTTTGGAGTAGTTGTATAGGAGGAAGAGGAAGACATTGGTCAAAATGGAGTAATTTGTGTCTACCTGAGAAGGAAGGAGGATTGGGATTTAGGATAATGACAGATATATCAATGGCTTTATTCTGTAAGTTATGGTGGAACTTCAGAACAAAATCATCGATATGGAGTGAGTTTATGAATAATAAATACAGCAAGA